TACAAAAGTCCAAACCATGTGTTAATGAATAACCCACTCGCACATATAGATGCTCAGCATGTGAACCCAAGTCTAGAACAAAACCAGTTTTCTTCTTGGATATCTCTGGACCAACTCCCGTTACCTCAATGCACTCAGGTATTCCATACAATCTTATTCCTTCTTTTAATTGTTAATATTTACATTCCCTCCAATACCATATTAGTCTTTGTTTCTCTCACATAGCTAATATGATTCTCTCTTGGAATATAAGGGGAGCAAACCACCCCAATAAAATAAGATCTTTGTATCAACTATGTAAACAAGAGAAACCAGATTTACTGTTCCTGTGTGAAACAAAGATGAACACAACCCAATCTAAGTCCCTTGCCAAAAAACTTCATTTTTCTCACTATGTCAATAACAAAACCAAAGGTCTCTCAGGTGGCCCACTTTGTTGCTAGCACAACACCATATCCATAGTGGTCCTATATTGAGACTAATTTCATTCGACTTCAAGTGGAAAACCTTCCCCAAGGAAAATCATGGCAAATCATTTTTTATTATTGTCACCCTTAAGGACAATATAGACAAAGAACTTGGGCCTCTCTATCAAAACTTCTTGAGCCAGTACAGGTACCTTGGGTTCTAATAGGTGATATGAATGACATATACAAGACAAAGGACCACCAAAACTTCAAAAGACAAAGGCCAAAACTCCCAAGACATATGTCTAATTTCATCAATCAATTTTGGTTAATAGAACCAGAACATACAAGCACAACTTTCACATGGACAAATGGCCAAAATGGTCTTTGTAATGTTTTGGAAAGACTTGACAGAGTTTTGTTAACACAAACTTGGCTGGATATGTACCCCGACTCCATAGTCCACCATCTACCCATTTTGTTGTCGGATCATGGCCCAATCAAACATAACCTACAATACAAAATGGACAAGAGGAGATCCTAGTTTCATTTTCTCCCCATATGGGCTGACCATGAAGACTATCATAAAATCATTTTGGACTCCTGGAATATCTCGACTCATGGATCCCCTTTTCATCAAATTAAAACAAAGATGAAAGAATGCAAGAAAACTTTAAAAAGTTGGAACCTCAAAAACTTTTGGCTCCATACAAAAACACTTGAAGAGGCTAACAAAAGAAATCACTCAACTCCAGCAGTCTTACATAGATCAAAGGGATAGCCATCGGCTCAGGAGTTTGAAGAACCAATATAATTATTGGCTGCTTAAGGAAGAGCAACTTTGGAGGCTAAAATCTAGAGAATTATGGCTAAAAGAAGGGGATAAAAACACATTTTTTTCACCAAGTTTCCAAAAAGAAAAACACCAAGAATGACATTACTTGGCTGAAAAATGAAGAGGGGAACTGGAATACAAGTAAAAATGAAATCTCCAAGATTTTCAAAGCCCATATGCTAAAAATTGGGGGAGTGAATGAATTCTTTAGTCCCTCTGCTTTATGTGAGATTGACCTACCCCAACTTACAAGTGAACAAAAAGAAGAGCTTCTGCAAACCCCAAGCATGGATGAAATATGCCAAGTGGTGCAGTAAATGCATCCCCACAAGGAACTCAATAACACAAACTTCATCTTCATTCCCGAAAGTAACATAGCAGAGAACCCATCAGATTTTAGGCCCATTAGCTTAACCAATGTGCTATACAAAATAATATCCAAATGGATGGTGTCCAAAATGCAACCCATTCTACAATGTCTCATCTCTCCCCATCAATCTAGATTTCTGAAGAATAGACAAGTCACTGACAATATTCTGTTAGTACAGGAAATCACTCACTTGATGAACACTCAAAAGAGGGGCAAGGGTTACATGGCTCTCAAATTAGATATGTCCAAGGCATTCGATAGAATGGGATGGGAGTTAACAAGAGAAGTACTTAAAAAGATGGGGTTTCCAGACAAGTGGTGTAACTTGATCCATCAATGCATGTCCACTCCCACTTAATCAAAATTGGAGGGGAAGTTTTTGAACACTTCAAACTCAAGCGAGGCCTGCGCCAAGGTGATCCTCTCTCACCTTACCTATTCATTAAAGGCATGGAAGTTCTCTCCGGCTTGTTAACAAAAGCTCCTCTCAATGAAAGGCTTGAAGGGGTTAGGATTTGTAAAGATGGCACTCCTATTACTCACTTGATGTTTGTTAATGATTGCATCATTTTCTATAAAGCAGAGAAGAGTCAAATAAAGGAGCTGACCCAAATATTCCAAGTTTTTTAATCTTTGTCAGGTCAACAAATAAATTTCTCCAAGTCATCCATTTGGTTCAGCCGTTCAGTTCCTAGGCAACACTAGAGAATACTTTCACATATCTTCAAGATAAAAGCCACTAACATGAATGGTCTGAAATACTTGGGAGCAAAAATTCACATACAGAATTCGAAGTACCTAGCCCCACAAGAAATTCTAGAAAAGTTCAAGGGAGGATAGATGCTCGGAGTTCTAGGCTTCTTTCACAAGCGGGAAGAACAACACTAGTACAGTCAATTATACAAGCCATCCCAATTTTCTCTATGATGACTACAATGTTCCCCAAATATTCCATGCAAAGATTGATAAACTATCTAGAGACTTCCTGGAGGAAACTGTGTCTCCCAAAAGCAGTTGGGGGTTTAGGCTTTAAGAATTGGAAATTCATGAATCGAGCTCTTTTCGGAAACTTGATGTCTGGGTTCCCTCGTTGCCTTGTGGTACTCCCCAATCGGCTCCTACTGCTTAAACTCAATACAGTAAATTTACAGTTGTAGACTTGATGTCTGGCGCAAATTGGAACGCTGAAATACTCCAAACATTAGTTGACCCCACAACTCTTAACAAGATACTACAGATCACCCCAAACCCAAACTTAGACGAAAATCTTCTAATCTGGAAGAGGAACAACAGTAGTGTATACATTGTCAAATCAGCTTACAAAACCTTCAAAGTTGCAGATCCTTCATCTTCTGAGTCTTGCTTTAAATTTAAATGGTCACAACTTTGGAAGTTGAAAATACCATACGGATGCACACTATTAACTTGGAAGCTCATTTGGGATGGGCTCCTTACAAAAGACAAATGTTCAAGATGGTTGAGAGACGAAGACTTGCTTTGTATATTTTGTAAGCAAGAGCTATCTGGTGTGAGGCACAATTAGGGATTACTGATAAATATGGGTCCCACCAAATGATACATGAGTTCATGTTGAACTGGCTCCAAACACTAAGAAGGCATCTCCCAAAGCACCTAGTTCAGGAATTTTGGGAAAGAGAATGCATAATTTTCTACTTAATATGGGATACCCATAATAAAGTCATCTTTCAAAATTACTGGTATAACCCAGCTGATGTTATAAATAGATCTCATACTTTCAAGCAGCAGCAATACTGTGAGCAAACTCCTGCAATAATTGCTAGTTCATCTACTCAAAGCTGGATAGTTCATATGATGGTTGATGGTTCATATGATGATAAAACAAGAACATCCTCCAAAGTCTCTCAAAAGGAATCCTCTCCACACAAGGACAACCTTGCTGGGCTGTCAACAACTATGATACTGAAGTGCAAGCCTTAGTTGCAGGTTTGGAAGCAACCATAAGCTTAGGTTTCACCAAATTACTAATATTCTCTTATTCCCTACAGCCAATAGATTTTTTAAATGCCACCATGAAGGCATGAAGACAAAGTACTGGATCGAGAGGCTTCACTGGCTGAGAATTGGATGTCTTCTATCTAATATAACTCAATCCTCTTTTATGTATAGAAATAAACTAGATAATCAAACTGCACACACGTTCGTTTATGTGGCTGTAAGGCACAACTACAAGTATCTGTATAGTTCTCAGTTACTTAAATGATAGCTCGGTTGCTTCTTATTTTATAAAAAAAAAGGTATAGGAAACGTATGGATACAAACGACAGATATAGAAACGCTTGAATACGATAGTGAAATGCATACAAATCACATAAATATATTAATAATACTAAACCAAAAGCTGAATTATCTATGAATAAGATATAAAGACATGAGAAATGTATACTTCAATAGGTTATATGAAGAGAAATATTACAATAAACAATACCGGGACTCAAGAACATTCTAACATTGTACAATAATTATCATTCTTTCAATTTTATAACTATAATTTTCAATTTTTATTAAGTTTTTAGATTATTTATTAATTTAGTATTTTATTTAAATAACAACTATTTTTTAAACAGTAAATATGTTTTCATTTTTAACATATAATATTTTTATTTTACACATAATTGTAAAATAAAACAAATAAATCATTCAAGGTACATAAAATAAATTATATTTAATTTTCAGTTTTTATTAAATCTTTTGGGAAAATTAAATCTTAAATTATTCGTTTCAGTTTTTATAATTATAATTTTCTATTTTCCATTAATTTTGTTGGAAAATTTTATTTATTTAGTATTTTTATATAATAACTATGTTTTTATTTTTAATATATAATTATGTGTAAAATAAAATATATAAATCATCTAAGGTAGATGAAATATATTATTTTTATAATATTTAGTTTTTATTAATTTTTTGAAAAAAATTAAATCTTAATATTTATTTCATTTTTCATAATACTATTTTTAACTTATATTAAAGATGAAAAACAATTCAAAAGTACTCAATATACAATTTTGTTAAACTAGAGAGGGATACACCTCAATATCAGTGTGTATTGATACGGTCTAGTACGACCCAATATGAAAGCATATTATACTAATATGCATGACTCATGAGATACATATCTAATCGTACGTATCCTGTATCCACAATCATGGATACTGATACCATACAACGGGGAGTATCATATTTATACCTTAATCGTTGCCTGCATGTAATTTACCCTATATATTATATAATGGGATAAATGAGACCGAATTACCAAACCGACCTTATTTTTCTATCGAATTTACATGAATTACATGTAATTTAGCAACAAGCCATTAGTCACCTGCTTCTATTTCTATTTCACGAAAATATCCTTGATTCAAGTTTATTATTACGCATCTGCAATTTAGCGACAAGCCATTTGTCACCTGCCAAGCGTCTGTTTCTTTTGCAGTCTTGGGAGCTCCGAGCTCTCCACTCTTTCTGTCTCTCCTCTCACGGTCTTTCGTCCTGAAGGTATTCCGGGAAAGGATACAAGAAAAGGTACTCTTATAAACCCTAGTTTCAAACTTTTTCTCAATAGGATTTGAATAAGGATCATGGGCCTCTTCCTTTCTCTTCTTAAGTCTCCTGCGTAATCTCCGCAGATCCAAGGCAAGAAAAATCAGCCACTTGAAGAAGGATCTCAAATATGGTAAGGGAGATCTTAGAAGAAGGAAACTTTTTTTTTTTCAAAAACTTCTTTTGGGTTCTATAAAATTCTGCCATAATAGGATTTGAGGCTTTTATTTCTGCTGGATTTTGCAGTCTGCGCTCTTCAATTTCCATTCATTTCTGTCGGTAGTGCTGCTAGTAATCTGCACCTGCACTTACGTGAAGATGCAGTTCCCAGCTATCCTCGAACAGAAAACTGGGTATGATTCTTCTATTATATATATTGTTTTACTGCGCTTGGTGAATGGCATACATATTTGGTTGCTAATACAAGTGTTCTCTGAAAATCCTTTGAGTTCTAAGATTTTAACAGAGGCTAGGAGATCAGGTCCTTTGTAGTCAATCAGTGTTGTGTTTTTTAGAATAATCTATGACTCGTGTTTGTTATTACAAGTAGCCCAAATACGACCAACCGTGGGATGGAAAAGAACCATTTGCAGAGGTGCTAATATTTAGCATGGAATTTAAGTTGAGAGTTTACTGAAGTTATCAAAAATTCAGGAAAAAACCATTTACACATCAGAGGCAGGGAAGTAACTGCTGTTTACTGAAAATATGGAACTATATAATTCATCAACTATGTTCACCCTTCAGTTGAGGTTTTTGGAATACCCTACTTGTTTGATCCCTATAGGAGATTATGTGGCCATTCCCCTTTACACATTGACATAGTGAAGATTTGGTCCCATCCAGAGGATAAATTGATTCTTTACTTTGATAGTTGCTCCTTAGGCAATCTAATGCCTGCTGAAATTCTTAATGTTTTAGAAACAGGTTGTACCAAATTAGTTAACTGTCACCTCCCAGGTTTAGAATGTATCTGTAGAGCTGACATTGGTATTTGATCATCTGAATCCAAATTCAAAACTAATTTGACTAAGCTAGATGTGAATCTCAAATATGAAATATCAGATTCACTTATAATCAGAGCAACTGTGGATTAGTCCCAATTCAATCCAGTTAAGAACATAAGATCCAATCCATCATCATCATCATCCATGCCTTATCCCAACTATATGAGGTCGGCTACATGAATCCTGTTTTGCCAATCTGTTTTATTTAAAGATAAGGTCCAATCCATATCACTATGTTTTTTCATATATCTGTATAAGAATTACATATATTTATTAGAGAACTTGTTTTTAAGTGTTCCTTTTTTTATTTTTACTGAAGGATCATAGATGCAAGTCTCTGGAAGATATTATTAACCCATTTTATTAATGACATATATTAAAGCCATTTCTAGTTCGCTTTATCATTAATATGTAATATTTATGCTATTTACAGTTTGTTTTATTAATTATATATGGTATCTGAGTGTAACCTCAGTCCAATTTGACTTCAAGAGATGGGAGTCATTTTGAATCCAAGTATCAATCAAGCTTTTTGAAATGATATATGGGATTGAAAACTATTTTAGGTAAGAGGTTTAGCAGTGATTAATCATTAATGTGGATGTAGAAGAATTGGAAAGGTTAGCTGCAAGTTCTAGGATTTAAGGCATCCTTACTTTCAATGTCTTCTCATGGTTTTCCTTTCAGAGGTAATCTAAGATCTAGGTTTTTGGAGTTTGGTGGTGGATAGACATGCCAAGAAACTCTTTGCTTGGAAAAAGAATTACATATCTTTGGAGGGATATTACATTAATAAAATCAATGTTAATCTTCCAGTTTACTTATTTCTTTGTTTTCAAGGCTCCAATTTGACTAGTAAAGAAGGTGGAGAGAATTATTAGATTTTCTATGGGAACTGGGGGTGGAAAAGAAAATATCATTTGGTTAATTGGAAAACAAATTGTCTTAGGTTCTTAGTAAGGAAGTTGGGGTTAGGAATTAGATATTTGAGTGATAAAAATTCTGCATTGTTAGGGAAGTGGTAGTTCCATTGGAAGAGGATAGGTTATAACATTTGGTTATTAAAAGCATGCATGGTACCTTCGGTAATGATTGGGATGTAGGTCTAAATAAATTTGCTAGAATAATTTCTCCTCAGAAAGCCATCTTCTTGGTTCAGTTGCTTTTCTTTAAGTTCACAAGGTGTGATCTTTGAATGGTTTCAATATTATATTATGAGAGGACCTTTGGTGGGATTATTTATGTCTTGCTTCTCACTTTCCCAATCTTTATGCTTTCACAATTTAAATTTTCCTCTATTGCTTCTTGCGTCTCTTGATTTGGTTCCTCTTTTTCTTGGGACTTTTGTTTCCATAGGGAGTCTAGATTACAAAATACTATTAATATTATAGTGGGTCTTTGATACCATTGTGTTTTAAACCTCAACATTTGAACTTAAATCATTACATTGAAAATCAGGAAAGTGAGATGTTTTGGCACAAAACATACTGCACAATAGTTTCTATAGTTTTAAATATATAGGTGTCTTTAGGTGTCGCATAGGACAAGTTGAAATGGCCCCAAATGCTAGAAATGTCTTTTTTTTTTAATATTCTCCTCCACACCACCATGCACATAACCTAATGTAAAAGTGGTATTGCCATTTGAAGTTGAATCATGCCCAACCAAATATTCTTTTCATATGAAAATCAAATTACCTATGTTGCACTTATGTGGAGTCAAAACAGGAATTTAGCACCATGATTCCAATCACTACCTTAGACTATAAAGGGAATTTTTCCTTCCCTTGGTTGGGACAAAAGAGTTTGGACTGCTGATCCTAAAGTACCATCTCCAGATGTATTTTTCAGTACAAGCTATTTGACAGGGTCCTCTTATTTCCAAAGTTAGAGCCTTTTTTGTTAGGAAGTGTATCATATAAAGGTTGACCTGACAGACCTGTAATGTTCATGGTTCACCAAAAAGAAGCATTTGTTACTGATTAAAAAAATCAGTTTTCCAATTTCTTGACCAATTTCAGAATTTTTGGGTGTTAGGGATATTGATATTTTTGAGTTCTTAAAATTTATTTTCTAGTTGTAGGTATCTTAAAAGTAGGGTTTTAAGTATTCCTGTAGGGCAATGGCTAGTGGACTCATTCATGGGTTTAAAGTTGGAGAGAGCAGCGAACAGATCTCCCTGCTTCAATTCGCTGATAACGCCATCTTCTTTTGTAATTCCTCAACTGATCAGCTGATTTTTTTGGGCTTCGTTCTTAGATGGTTCAAAGCTGTTTCAGGCCTCAAAATCAACCTTTCTAAGAGTGAATTAATGAAGACAGAGGAAATTTCTGACCCCCAACTAGCTAGTATTTTGGGCTGCAAAACTGGGAACGTGTCCGCCACCTACCTTGGCTTGCACCTTGGAGCCAAAAGCAGCACCAAGAGGGTTTGGGATCTGGTTATTGATAGATTTGACAGGAAACTGTCGATGTGGAAGTCTAAATACTTAACAAAAGGTGGTAAACTTACTCTGATTAGGAGTGTCTTGTCTTCACTTCCAATTTATTACCTGGCATTATTTCATATCCCTGCCAGTGTTGCTAAGCTCTTAGAGAAGAAATTGTGAGTCTCTTTATGGGCTGGATGGAGAAACAACTTGAGATGTAATTTGGTGAACTGGAAAACAGTGTGCGAATCAAGGAGAGCTGGTGGTATAGGCATTGGAAATATTAAAACTGTCAACAAGACCCTTCTTGGCAAATGGTGTTGGAGACTCGGCAAAAGAGAGGAGCAGCCTCTGGAAAAGAATCATTGTGGATAAGTATGGGCTCACAAATCTGGGGTGGGACTTGGGTTCTGGCCTACTCCCAAGGGGATGTGCCCGGTTGAGTAATATTGTCTCTATTCTTCCTGACTTCTTGAAGGGGATGAGATGCAAGGTTGGCAAGGGTAATCACATCAAGTTCTGGTTTGACAAATGGTGTGGGGACCTTGCTTTGAGTGAGAAGTTCCCCTCTCTCTTTGATATCACACAGGATAAAGATGCTGTGGTTGAAGACTACTTTCAGAAGAAATCTCAATGATTGGGAAATTGGTCCACTAACTGAGCTACTAAGTCACATTCATGGTTTCAAGCCCAAACCACAGTTTGATGATGAAAGAATCTGGTCTTGGGAGACCTCTGGTAAGTTCTCTTCTCAGTCCTACAACAACCTTGTGTTTGGTGAGGATGGAGACTTCCCTTGGGCTGTAATCTGGAATTCCCATGCACCCTCATAAATTGCCTTCCTGGTTTGGACCAAGGGGCAAGCTGCTTTGGAGGATTTTTCCAGCTGCTATCCTGTGGGCTCTTTGGAAGGAAAGGAACAGCTGGATTTTTGACAATAATTATAATGATGTAGCTTCAGTCAAGAACAAAGGGCTTGCTAAAAAAAAAAAGAAGGGCTTTTAATGGTGCCCAGATTTTATCTTTTTGGCAAGCTGGGCCTTTTTTTAAATTGATTTCTCAGGTCTTTTAGTATATTCCCAATGTACAGGATCTCATTGTACATGGGCTGATGTAATTGGTTCTCTTTGCAATATAATACCCTTACCTTCTTAAAACAACTTTACTTTTATTAGTAAATCAAAATTACTAGGAAAAATCTATGCTGATCGAAAGATCACAATGGCTTATGGAAGGGGATTCGGAGGTGGTGATAGGGTGGCTGATTAAAGATCACAATGGCTTATGGAAGTACAATAATGAGAGGAGGAAATTCAAGTGGCTGGTGCGGGAGATGGAAGTTAAGACACATTGGGTTAAAAGATCGGCTAATTCCCTAACTGATGGTTTAGCTAAACAAGGGGCAGAAAGGGATTCACTGTTTTGGGCTAAGCTGTAACTATAGTGTGTTTTTTCTTTCTTTTTTTCCTTTTCATGAGGTTCTTTGCTGCTCTTGGAAGATAAGTGTGTTTGTCTTCCTCTTGTAAATCTTCTATTGATGATTTAATGAAAGTGTTATTGATAAAAAAAAAGGGCTTTGACCAATCANACCCCCACACACACACGCACACTGAATTTGATAAATAACCACCTGATTGGTACCACTTTTATGATACCAGTTGATTGGTTACAAGTTTTTCCAGTGTCATAGTTGAACCCAAATTACTTTTCATGATAATTTTGGACTGCTATTTAAAGCAATCACATAATTACTATTCATGATAATTTCTTGTTTCTTTACATCAAGTTAGTTTAAGTAGGATCAGTAAAGTCTTATTGAAGTGATTTGATGAAATAAAGTTTGCTTTATTGAATTCTGGTTGCTGCTAGTTTATTTTTTGCCTCTTCCCCCTCTCTCCTATTTCTTCTTCTAAGTAATATATCTCTTTGCTGACAGCAAGAGTCTTTTCTTTCTTTTTAATCTCTTATTCATTTTTTGGAGGACAGCAAGTTGTCTACTTGCTTCTTTATCCCTACCCTTCATCCTTGATCTCTCAAAGCTTCCTTTGCCTCACAAAGCCCACTACCAGATCCAAGATTTGTAAGACACCTTACTTTGTCCTACATCAGGAGACTACTTTCCACCTCTTCATTTCTTGCTCCTTTGTCTCTAAGTTTGGGATTTCTTATCTTTATTTGGCGTTCGGTAGCAGTTAAATGTGGATATTTAGCCTATGTTTTTTAATACTTTCTTCTCATCATCAACTAAGAAAAGAAAGGTATTATTAGAGGTGCACAAGAGCTGCAATTCTTTGGTCGGGNAGAGTGTTTCAAGAGGAGGAGAAGTTCAAGTCTTGATAAAGAGGATTTGCTTGAGGGTAGCTCAATGGGTGTTATCAAGGGAAAAGTTTGCTGATTATTCAGTTAATGACATCTTTAGATCGTGGCAAGAAATTTCAAATTCCTCAACAGGAAGACACCCAATTCATAAGAAAAAAGGAAGACAGAACTAAGTGCAAAGTTGGTCTCCACCACTGAAGGTGTTATAAAGTTAAATTTGGATGGCTGTTCTCCAGGTAACCCAGGTAACTCAAGGATAGGTGTAGTCTTCAGAAGTTGAATGGTGATATTGTCTATGTTTTCCCAGGACAAATTGGAGTTGATACTGCTAGAAGGGCAGAAAACTTGGGTTTCATGGCAGTTCTCTCACCACATCAGAGAAGCAAATTTTCTGGCTTTACCTGTGAATATCTTGTTCATTTGGGGGTAATGTAATGTTTCTCTTTTTATGAGAATATCTAAAAGGAAGACAGAGGTGTTGGTCTGAGAAGAAAACATTTTTATTTCTTTTCTTTCTAATTTCTCCTCATTGCATGGCTTCCATTGATTAATAATGAAATGATTTTTTATCCATAAAAAATTGATATATTAAGAGGGATTTTTTTTTTGCCTACTGTCTAAAGGATAGAAGGATATGGTTCAGATGTGCAAGGCTATATGTTAAGATTTTTTCATTATAAGGAGCTTCAGCCTATCCATCACACTAGTCCTTATCACTTTCATTAGCAGTGCATAAATACAAAGTTCAAAGAGTAATTAAAAAATGGGAAAAAGCCATCCCTTTGGAGGTGGCTTCCCAAGGGGTAAGGCTGTAGTGTGAATTCAAAATTTTGAAAAGTTGTAAATAGGGGTTTGTAGCAAGGCTACCCAATTATTATTATTTCTGGTAATAAATAAAAAAGAAAATTTATTCATAGAAAGGAGAAGAGATTAGAATAAGAGGTGATAAGTTATCAGTGACTCCTCCCTGACCTTAAATTAGTGGGATCATGCTCTCAAATAAATCTCGTTACAACCCATTCCCACCTTTAAGCTCCTCTTTTTGGTCTCTTAAATAATTCCTGCTGAGCTGATTTTTGAAGTAACATTCTTTTTCTCCCCCTTGAAACATTGATCCTTAACCACCACTTCAATTTATTCAAACTATTACTCCTCCCCTGGAGAGACAAACCCAGATTTCTTTCCCTTCCAGAGGAAGACGAAGATAGAGCTTCACATTATTCTGTATTCACATGAGTGAGGTAACCCCTTGCAAATTTGCTCCCTCCTCCTAGAAAATTTGCCTTCAACATCATGTAGTTGTAAAAGTTAACATGTAACCTAGAACCAACTTGTATTTCCTTTTTGAAGTTGCTTCACCTAAACTACCTACAGAAAGTCTTTTCCTTCTCCCCAATGCCATCCACCCATTTTAAATTTGCTTTAGACACTGACTTTTTGAGTTCCATGCCACCTCAGCATAAGAAGTAAACATGGTCCTTCAATTCACATTGTCTAATTCAGAACCGAAATTCTTAAAAGGCCTCTGCCCAATGCCTTTTTCCTTCACTGACCCTGTAATTTTCTTTTGTGACTTTATATTTTCTCTGCCCCCTCTCTCCTTGTCCACCAAATGGCAGAAGGGTTGCCATGTTATCATCTTCTTCTTCCCACTCCTTCCTCCACCACTGAGCTTCAATGGAGGTAGTGATCCACACCTGCAAACTTAAACCTTTAGAAAACACCTTGATCAGGTATCTGATTGAATCTAACCTTGCCCCTACTAGTTGCAACACCAACCGAAGATTTACTGCATCAAAATCCACCAACCCTACCTTTGTCTTCACTACTGTGGCTGTGAACTCCATGTTGTCTTCAACTATATCAAGAATCGCTTTCTCCTTTTATAGGGGGTGTTTGGCACTTTCAGACTGTACATTCTTTATATAAGTCAATAAAGTTGATTGTTAACAATCAGAAAGAAAAAGGGAAAAAGACAGTAACATTTGAAAAAAAATTCAGAAAATGAAACATAATAATAATTTGTTTTGTAAAAAGATGCCATAAATGAAAGGGGTAAAAGTTATATTCCAGGAAATGGATACAAACACCTGTCCTACATTTAGAGGTGTAATTGCTGGGCCATGGGTGGCACAATTGTTTTTAGAAAAATTGATAAAAATAATGAAAAGTTAAAATAAATTAACAAGATAGCTAAAAAATCTTAAAATTTTATTCTACATGAATTTTGATGTACACAATTGTTTATATATGAAATTGAAAAAAAATTACAATAAAATTGGAATAAACTAGTATAATAAAATTGAAAATAAAAATTGATAGATATAGTTATAGATATGGGCCGTACCATGCTGGTCTGTGGGCCTCAAAACTCAAGCCCGGCACAGCCCAGGGGTATAGGCTGGGCCACGGCATGGCCCACTTTACAACTCTACCTACATTTTCATAAATGTTTGTGTCGCCTTCTATTCCTGTATCTATGTTTTTATCTGTATGATTATTATTGATATCTGTATCTGCATGTGAACAATATAGATGAATGACCTTCCATAGGAATTTGTTGGCAGTCAGCTCTTTTCTGGTTTGTTCTTCTTGTTTAGGGTGAGCCTTTCTCTCTCCTGTATCCATCTTCCCTTTTATATTTAGTTGTATCTTATCTTCCTTTATAAGACTATGCAGATGCCCCACCAGAGGATATATTTAAGATCTGCACATAATACCAAAGTGGTTACAACTTACAACTCATTCAGTTCTTTGGATAAAAGGTAGTTTATGCGCAAGGTGCCAACCAGCTGGTTGGTAAGGTCTCCTGCTGGTCATAGTGGAGACTTGGGATCGAATCCCGCCTGCACCTGGGTTGGGGGGGGATGGGCTTCCCCCTGTTGTTGTAGCCTTTCAAAAGAAATTAAAAAAGAAAAAAAGAAAAAAGATACAGGTAGTTTATGCAGTGGCAAATTGATGGCATCAGTCTACCAGGTCCTCAGAACTTATGGTTTGGAAGCTTCTTTAGGATGATAATGGTTAAACGGAAATAATGCTTTATCCTTTTCTGGTGTGAATTTTTTCAAGCATGAATTTTAAGGACAATACTTTTGAAGAACAAAGCATTATGAATATATTTGATTCAACCTTCTGAGTTTTCCATCTTTATCAACAGAATCAAGATTCCTTTCCTTCCCATTCTTATTCCTTTATATTGCTGGTTGAGGTTTGGCGATGCCATTCCTTGTATAAATCATTAGTAGATTAGAGAAGAAGAATATTTAGTTGTTTATGAGGCTTGCAGCTCATAGACTTGTTTTGCTTTTCATAGTCTGGGGATTTTGATGCGAAACCAATTCTCAAAAGGCTTTTCCTTCTTTTAATTTTATCTTGCAAATTAATTTTAAGCTATTTTCTGATAAAATCTAGAGTAAGATTGAAAAACTTGGAGCCTTTAGGAGCCACTCAATACATTCTGACTAACACCTCTTACATTATAGTATAGGGGATGTTGTGGGGCATAATACATGCTTTATAAGCTAGAGACTAACCAATTCTAACTTCTGTTGCATCAGCCTTTCTTGATGGCCATTTTTGAAATTATTTGTTATTGATTCAGATAACTAAATAGAACAGTTTTTTATTTGGGGTTTTTACTGTTCAGTCCACCCCAACAAATCTTAGCTCCACCATACAGTTGGGGTAGGTACCAGCTCGGAATTGATGCCAATTCACGGGCAGTTATGGGTGCTATAGGTGGAGGTGTTTATAATTTTGAATTGTTGTAGCTCTGCAGCTAAATTCAGAATACTGAGGTGGAGTGCACTCAACTTATCCCTTTTTATTTTGACAAGAAGTTTAATCATCAATGGTGCATGGTGATGCTTCTTGTGATATATTAATGTCCATAAGATACCTAACAATTTTCTTTGGCGTATTGTTTGGTTATATGATGATGATGTATCCAAGTTCTCTTAAGTTCTAAATTTGATCAAGTGTGAAACTGGCAGGTTTCGAGGTTTCTTCTGGAAGGCAGCTAGAATAGGTAAGTTGCTTCACCATTACATTTTCTGTATTGTAGTCTTGTTAGTCATCATAATTTGTTACTTGTTAGGGGGATATAATGATTTTTTTAATAGATGCTTTGTTTTATAGTATGGGATCTAATCACTTCAGCAACTTTACCTAAGAGATATTTCAATTCTTATTTTAAGAGCATCGTGTTTATTCAAGAGCTCCCTACCAACAGGCAGGCAAAAGTCCTTTTTATTTCTCAGATTAATATGAAATGCACGTTTGCTCAAGAACTAAACAATAGCCATAACCTCACCAGCTCACCCAGTCACCCTGTTTTGTGATCCTCCATGCCATGGAAACTAATTAGATAGATGCACCTCTTGGGTCTTTTTATTCTGAAATAAAACTTCGTCCTTTCTGTTGTCTCTTTGATCTTAGCATTTCTACGGTGGTTTCTAATTCAAGTTTGAGAGTTATAAGCTGTTTATTTTGTGAATATTATAAATTAATTGATGTTTTTGGTGTATCTATACAGGTGAGCGTCTGAGTCCTTGGGTAGCTGTGGGCTGCTTCGCGATGGGTGTGTCAATAATATTTTCCTGAACATTGAGGGTCCTGGTTGTATACTTGAGTAGAAGCAGCTACCTTACCCATTTCGCTCTGATGCGTCCAGTGTTTTGATGTAAAATGCTAATATTTGAGTACTCGTTACAAATGCTCTTGGCAAATATTTGCTTAATAATGATTCATGCTCTCGCAAATCCAAAAAGAACCCATGAAAAAAGTCTGCATTATAGTTGTCTTTTGCAGCTAGTGATACAATATTGGGGAAAATACTTGGGGTTCGTTTGGTTCACAGTTGGAATCGGAATCGGAATCGGAATCTTTTGGAATCAGAATTGGAATCAAAATCGAAATCTTTTGGAATCAGAATCGGAATGGCCTATTCCCATAATCTGTTTGGTTCAGACAGGAATGGGAATTGGAATCAGCAGGAATGAGATTTCATTTCCAAGGGAGGGGCAGGGAATGGCCATTCTCTCAAATGGGGGAATGCCATTTCAACAAGAATGGGAATGGGGTTTCGATTCCACCCCAACCAAACAATTGAAATCCATTCCGATTCTGATTCCAGACCCCTATTCCTGTGAACCAAGCGGGGCCTTAACCATAGAGGTTCGTTTGATTCACAGCCGGAATTGGAATGGGAATGGTCTATCCCTATAGTCTGGTTTAGACAGGAACGGGAATGGGAATGGGAATTGGAATAAGCAAGAATGAGATTTCATTCCCAAAGGAGGGGCAGGGAATGGTCATTCCCTCATATGGGGGAATGCCGTTCCTTATGAGGGAATGTCGTTCATTCTAATGGGATTCTGATTCTGCTCAATCAAACAGTTGGAATTGGAATAGTTCATTCCAATTCCGATTCTAGACCCCGTAGACCAACCCCACTTGGACTAAAACAATGAAACTTATATAAATTCATTTAAATCCTATTTTTCTCTTTTAACAGATGAACCTTGCTCTCTGTTCATCTGTCCTATTATTTGAATAATAAGGATGGCCTTCATTGTTTTATTTAAAAATTTGAAAATTAGTATTACAAAGTGGTGCACCGTGCACATCAAGGTTCAAAGTATCGACATGTATCGGATGATATATATCATTTCGGGACTCCTCTGATACACCCTTATAGTGAATGTATCAGGGGTCTAACCGGTTCAGAGGGTGGAGGAGCCCTATACCGACCCCCCTGAATTCGTTCCATTTTTCTTAATGTCAGTGCAGGTGCTCTTTAAACATTATGGCTCATATAAGGCCAAAACCTTTTAACTGTTAAATCTAATTCTTTTAAAGATGCATCTGCTTCTCAATCATTATTTCTATTTATATATGGACTTGTCATTTCAAATCTTCTTCTTGCTTTGTATTTGTATATCCAATATCTATTGTTGGTAAAACATGCAACATAAATTCTGTTTAGACAAAATTCAATTTGAATTGGGTGGGGCTCATCAATCAATCTTAAGATCCATGTTAAAGCCCCTCTTACCATTCTTGCTAATGGTTGGAGGGGAAAAAGTGATATTCTGTTCTCCTTTCATTTATATTTAGATTTATAATCTTTTTGTTTTTTTTTTTTGAAAGTTTGAAAGGAAACAAATGATAAAAGAGTTGCAATGTATTTTAAGTCCTTTTGAAAAACTTAGGGTATCTTTAAGTCTTTTACCCTATATTTTATTTATAAAGTCAATTTAATCATTGAGTTTTAAATGAAAAGTCTATGCTATGGGGAAGACATGATTTTGATATCATAGGGCCCATTTGGCGTGTCTTTTTTGGGAAGATCTTTTGGTAGCTCTGACATGTAAAAGACGCATTGAACTTTTATGAAGATCTGAGTAGTCCAAAGCACGTTTGGCAGACGTGTGTTTTTCCGCGCAAGATTAAAATGCGGAAGACATGAGAAGCTTCATTTGAAGCTTCTCAAAATCAGCCTGAAATGGGCTTCTCATGTCTTTTCGACGCTTCGTCTTTTGACGGCTAGATTTTTCGCAAGCCAAACAGGAATAGACAAAAAATTGGTCTTCCCGGCTTGTAAACAGCCAAAAGACCATGTGAAAAGACGCACCAAACGAGCCCATAGTCTAACCTAATTTTGAGAACTGGTATATTATTTTTTATTACCCAAAAGAAACTTTATGATTTTAAGAGAATTTGGATCTGCTGACCACAATACATTGCTGGCCATATTCACCCAGCTGCACATTAGGAACATCTCTTGTATTTTATATCACTGATATTCCGGATGTGCAACTGGATGAATGTAGCCAGCAACATGTTTTGCTCAGTAAATCTGGTCTCGTTTTAAGTTACATTTCTTAACATCCCCATTAAAGCAGCAAAAAGGAAGAAAATCAGGTGGGTTTCTTGGAAATTCCCTACTTTATTTATTTGAATTCAAGTTAAACGTAGACAGGGTTAACCGTGGTAACCTGGGAACAAGTGATGGCGGAGGTGTAATTAGAAAGGCTGATGGCCATTTGTTGTTTGCCTTTTTCAAATTCCTATGGCTATGCTACCTCTCTTCAAGCTGAATTCCTTGCTCTGTTGGATGGTCTTCGGCTTTGCTGCAATAATGGTATTCTATCAATTGATATAATGAATGACAAACTTCCCCCTTGGTTGATATTTTATACATTGAAGACAATTAAAACAATGCTTACTTGCATGAATATTATTTTTGTGCACACTCTAAGAGAGGGGAATCGTTGTGCCGACTATCTTGCCAATAAAGGTATTGAAGATAACAGATTAGTCGTATTAGATGCTGTCTCTCACTTTCCTCAAGCTCTCATTACTCTTTGTCAAGAGGATCAATGTTCCTATATTGCGGTTGGATTTCTGATTGTATGTGCTGGGTTTGGGCTGAGTTTGAGAGAGGGAGAGTTTGTAATTCTCTTAGTTTTGGGGTAAGGCGGACTATGTCCTCCCATATTATCATTTATTTAGTCTTTGATAATGATTAATAAAATTTAAGATGACCGCCCCTTCACCTGGGGTTAAAAAAAAGTTACGTTTCTTGTCCATCATCAGGAGTATATGTTTTGGCAAATAGATTTGGTCTCATTTTAAGTTAGATTTCTTGTCCATCATCAAGAGTGGTTAACTGCTTGCTATGAGCAAGTGTTCAAAAAACAAAACAAATTGGGATACAGATTGGTTGGTAAGGTTTGGGCACACAAGCCATGTGAACAACTCGTTTCTCGTTATTAGTCTTTTTTATTGTATTTGTTTGTGTCGGGGTAGAGTTACCCCTCGTTTGGTGTTAGTTGCTATATTTTTGTCTATTTATCAAAAAAAAAAAGAAATCCAAAAAGAATCCACAAACTCACGATGGATTGTTGTAAAAATAGTAATAGTAAGGGAGAATGAAACTTATCAATCAATGCTTTCCAAACCCGAAGTTCAGCAACATTGTAGAACCAGTATTGAGAAACTGAGAAGTGCAGTCTGAGAAAGGGCTAAGTCGTGCCACTTAATCATTCTTCTTAAAATTGCATTTGCCCCTACGGTGTAACTGAGTGATTGCAAATCAGCTTCTAAGATGAAACAGCCTACAAGCTTCTTAGTAGTTGTGAACTCGCTTACCAGACCTCCGTGAATCACTAATGAAAGATGCTCAGATATTTGATAGATAATAGATAGAGAATAAAGTGTTGTATGTTGTATTCTGTTCTGTCACTGGGTAAGGTTGATGAATACTCTATTTATAGTATTTTGTTATGTCTCTCTAGAACAATGTAAAAGGTACCTATTCGAAGAGACACACAGAGCTAACACAGTGATTGGTTTATCAATGCTTTGAGAATGATTTGTGCTTTAGAATGGCCGTTTTCATATGCTGACCCATATGATTGAGACAAGGCTTGGATGATGATGATGTTGATGAAAGGTCATTTCATCATTTTGATATTTGTTATGCATTGGGAATTAGGGTAAAATTTTTACAAATTTCCCTTAAAAATAAATAAATAGAGAAATAATCAATAATCACTACAATAATGGCAAACTTTCTAGAATGTCAACTTTCTGGTAATTTTTTTGGCAATTTCTCCAAAAAAACTTATCCATCTTCTAAGTGAATCACTTACCTATGGAGGGAAAAAAAGAGTCAAATTATGTGGGACTAAAATGTGCCTATCAAGACATACAAGTTAAAGGCCTTTTAGAAAATTCTCACTAATCTAACTAATATATCTTTGCAAAACACAAATAAGGTCATGTCTGAGAACAGTTCAAAGTATCGACACATATCGGCCCGTATCGATCGATACGTATCATTTCGAGACTTCCCCGATATGCCCCTACAATGGGTGTATCAAGGTTCTGACCGGTTCAGGGAGTGGAGGAGACTTAAACCGACCCCCCTGAATCGGTTTTGAAAAAAAAAGTAAAAAAAAAAAAAAAACGGTATCGACATCACCCGATATGCCCCTACCGGCATATCGATATTCTGAACCTTGTTTGAGTGTGTTTAAGTTAAAAACAAGTACTTATTCGAATAAGCACTTATTTGCATTTGGCACCAAACTTTTTCAAGTGCTTATTTTTAAAATAAGCACTTATTTTATATTGGGCGTTTAGTAGTATTTTCTCTAATAAGCATTCATGACTATTTTGTCCTTCATTTTCTTTCAAATTTTCAAAATATGCCCTTAGAAAGAACTTTTATTAAATTACTTTTATAAAAACACTTTTGTGAAAGTACTTTTATAAAAAAAACTTTTATGAAAGCACTTTTACTATAAAAATCCTTTTATGAAAGCACTTTTGTAAAATTACTTTTATGAAAACGCTTTTAAAAAATTACCCTTACGAATAAAGTGTTTTTATAAAAGTGCTTTCAAGTGCTTATTGTATAAACACTTGAAAAAACCTCAAAATTTGGGCTTAAAAAATAAGGCCTTATTTTTAAAATAAGCACTTATTTCGGGCTTATTTCCCAAATACCAATAAGTGCTTAGGTTGCAATTGGCATTCCTTCTTTTAAGGACTTATCTCCTTATTGTAGTTAAAAACTCAGTGTTCATAGGGACATTTCAACTTCAAAAAAGAGAAAGTCCTTAAAATAGGGACTTATCTCCTTATTGTAGTTAAGCACTCCCAAACATGGCCTAAGACAACACATTCCCATATAAAACTTATCCAGATAAATGCATCTACCTAGGTAAATAAGCTAGTTCTACAGTCACTAAAATCCTGCCTATCTGGGAATAGATGATTGTTCTCTGATGCAAGTGGTGTTGGCTGCTAAAGTAATATACTAGCCAAATGGTAACATTGTTCTTGTATAAAGACGAGGGAAAGAAAAAGAGATTGAATTGATGTTGAACCTGCATCCACGTCTTTAACATGATAATCCATTAATCCCAAGATTCATAACCTCATATTAAGTAGTTAAACCCTTCATTTACGAATTAACATCATTGTATCCTCAAGAAAATGATAGAAAGCAACCAATAGAAACAGCCTAGAGGATGAAAGAGAAATACCAATAAATTAAGAAATTTGATGACAAAAGGAACCATCTTATGACAAAAAAAAGTACTGATGACTTGACCAGAAACGAGAAAAAGTTTCATTGCATAAACTTCAGTTATTTCTTCTTCTTTCCACCTTTTCCAGACTTCGACGGTCCTGCTGTTGAAGTTGCTGGTTCTTGTTTCTTTGTCCTCCCATGGTGCTTTGGGACCAATTCGGCGACATGGAGCATAAGTTGTTTCCCTACCATATAATTTCCAGAAGATGGTTAAAAATACTAGGATGGATGTAGTTCCGGAGGGGGGGAAGATAAATTAAGTGTATCTAGAAACCAAAGGAAATAGTAAATATTGGTTTTGATGCAGACATCTGGCATATTGGTTCATTGGTGACATTTCTTAGCCTCATCAGGGTTCAGAGAATAACCTTTTTTATATATAAAATAGTAACGCAAACACCCCAAGAGCCATAAAAAATTAGGCTGTTCCATTGATTCCTAATCCTGTTCTATGCACTACTCATTGCCACTATGAATTATATAATTGATCAAAAAAATTGAGGGTTCCTTTCAACATAGAAAATGGTGAAGGACCTAACCATGTTCTATACACTACTCTTTTATCATCTTTTAATAAATTCTCGTGATCTGATTTTGAGAAAAGATGAAGTACTGCATTACTCCAAAGAAATCATGTACAACTAGGGGCTATACATAGGGATGTAAAAAGCCAAGAATACATCAACAAATCATGATTTGCCAACCATGAGCCCATATCATTCCCACCACTTTTTTTAGCCACTTCATCAGCTAAACTTAATTTTTTTAGAAACAACCTTGCTATCCCCCAACCCACTCTTCAAACAATCCAAAACGGAAGAACACATAGTTGACATTATCCACAACAAATTCTCTTCTGATTAAGTTGTCCCTTTAAGAATCTTGTCCCAAGTTGCAGTACAGACAAAAAATTGCTATCATGGGTGGAACTGCAACACCACAAACTTTGCTGTAATGGAACACCCTTCCTGTTAGTACAGCTAGATGATTGTAGAAGGGCCTAACCATAAAAGAACCTGAATATCCCCATGTCCAGACTCTTTATCAGCTCTATTTATGCCCATCTGAACATTATACAGCTTCTGCAATAGCTCAATCATAATGAGGATTTCTCAAATCTCTACACAACTAAGAGCTCTAAATGAAGCTTCCATTTAGTGATTTGAAGCAATCTGCCATGTAAGGTTTGCAATCACACCAGCAAGCAATCAGAGGTAGGAAAGCTGCCAATAAAAGGTTTGCAATCACACCAGCAATCCTTCCAAAATTTGACCTTTTGGTCATTTCCTACTTGAAATCTTACAGACTTACACCCTGTCTAAGGTTGTTAAGAAGTTTCTCAATCCCTCTCCACACTAAGCCAATGTTTTAAAAGTGTAAGGGGCATTTTGCACCCAAAGTGCAAGGTGAGACACACGTCCTTTTGAAGCAAGGTACAAAATGCAAAAAAACTAAAAATTCAAAAAAAAAGTGCAAAAAATAAAAAATAAAAAATAAAATATTAAACATAATATTATTTAAAATATAAACTTGTTTTAAAATAAATTAAAAAAAGCATATTATCTCAAATTGAAGTACATAAACATAACATGTAAAACATATTCAAAATGAAAATTTAAAAATAAAACCTTTACCTCACAAATTTCTATTCACCCCACCTATCACCCACCCCCCCTCTTGTATTGTGTTAGATTCTCCTACAGGTGAGGAATCAATAATTTTCCCTAAAGTCAAACATAACATATAATCAACCATGTAAAACTTTCAATCTCTATATTTTTTTCCCAATTGCATTATTTCAAAAATCTAATGTGATGTTAAACATTTTGTATTCCTGATTCTATGAGACGTCATTGTACCAAGCCCCTTGAGGCAAAACCAAATAAGTCCATGTTAGGGTCTTACGTTCTTCTTGCCTACAAAAAATGATTTTATAATTTTAATTGTCTTTTAAAAATATCTTTTATTAGGATAAATGAATGAACAATATTAGCAAAATAAGGGGGGTTCTCAGATGGAGCCCCCGGCCTAGCCACTAGGCTTAAAAACAAGAAAAATGCACAAATTTTGAAAAGGCGCACACCTAGGCTTAAGTGCAAGGTGCCAGTGCACACCTTTTGAAAGTGCTGCGCTTGGGGCCTGTGCAAGGCACATACCTTAAAATATGCCTTGCTTGTGCACCTAGGTATGCCTTTTAAATCATTGCATTGAGCATCTATAATTTTGCCTAGTCTCACACAACTCCTAACCCATTCTTCAAGATCCATATTTGGCTTGGATAACCCTCCATAGAACCCCATTTTGCTCTACAAACCTCCATAGCAATGCAATAATAACATTCTTCACCCTCCTGACACCCAGCCCCTACTTCAACAAACCTTACTCCAATTTACAAAGTGATACTTTTTTTATCAATAGTTTACAAAGTGATACTTATTTTCTTCTCTCCATCTTTTCCATAAAAAGTCATGCATCCTGTAAGGTGCCAACCAGCTGGTTGGTAAGGTCTCCTACTGGTCGTAGCGGAGACTTGGGATTGAATCCCACCTGCACCTGGGTTGGGGGGGGTTATGGGTTAGGGGATGGGCTACCCCCGTTGTGTAGCCCTTCAGAACATATCCAAAAAAAAGGTCATGCATCCTTCTTTCAATGGTTGCTGCTCCTGAAGGGATTGGATACAAAGATAGAAGATACAAGGGAAATGAGGATAGGATGCTCTTTAAGAGTGCTAGTTTTCCTCCTTAGACAAGTATTTTGTTTTAACAGATTCTTCTCCACTTGTTCCAAGATAGGATCCCATACGGCATTGGAGGTACATCTGGCACCCAATGGCATTTCCAAATATAATAAATATTTGGATGGTACTTTACCCACTCTTAAGCCCACTACTCAATATTGTCAACCTTTCCTACAACCATGAGGTCGCTTTGTGAGAATTGGCATGGAGACCAGTCACTGCTTCAAACCACCTTATGATTATGATGGCCATTACATTTACATATTCCAACTGCTCCTTAGAAGCATCACAAAAAGAATAGTGTATCATCCGCAAACTGGAGAAGAATCACCTCCACCTGCTCCTCTCTGCCTTTTTCCACGTAACTCCCTGAAACCACTCTCTTTACCATTTACTAAGTGTTTCTATGACAGATGAATTCTGAATAGGAAAGGGAATAGAGGATCCCCTTGCCTAACCCCCTTCAAGCTATAGAAGTTTCCACTTCCCACAAGCAACCACATTCACCAATATTCATAATACAGGTGTAGTCACACACACCTTGATCCATTTTCTCCATTTTACCCCAAAATTCATTTTTTACAACACATAATCCAAACATTGCATGGGACATAATTCTCACTGCTGTGCTCTGAGGTATTGGGCAGGAAAGAAATAGTAGCATTTTCCAAAATAAGGATAGAACAGTCTGTAGTGTAAACCAGGCCTGAAGAAATCATAGAGATTGTGTTAGAAAAGAAAATCTAACACAAAAAGTCTTTAGTATAAACCAGGCCTGAAGAAATCATAGAGATCGTGGAAGGGAATGGAAGGGAAGTTTGTGGGTTCTGCTCAATGGAGAAAAAGCCTGAGGGTGGAGGCAAAGGATTTTTTGTTTGACAAGCTAAGGATCGAAGGTAAACCAGGCCTGAAGATAAGGGAGATGAAACTGGCGATAGTTTTTCTGGAAGGTTTAGACATAATAGAATGGGTCAAAGATTTTATTTCTGAAGCAGCTTCGAAAGGCAAGCAGCTTAACTGGACAGAGAAGGTTACAGACACTGGTAGAAGGTATGTGATAGAATGTAGGAAGAATAACAAGGGCTCCTTCATAGCCCTATCAGAATTTTTTGCAAAGAACAGAAAACAACTAGTATGCTTTCAAGGGTGGAAGGATGTGACTGCAGATTTTCAGGCTTTTCTGGATTGCAAAGAAGCAAATGTTGAGGAAAATCCTGGAAGGACAAAGAAGGGTGAGGAGTCTTTCAAGATAGAGTTCACTAATACCAATGTGGAGCAGGAGATGGTGACAATGGCACGGAATATCAGCAACCCAACGGTGTGGGTAAATGCAGAAAAACTGTTACAGATTGGAAGAAGGTAGCAGCTCTACTGATACATAAGTTCAATCTGAAGAAGCTGCTTGTATTAACCCCTTTTAACAGTTGCAAGGCTGTGATTGATTTCTGTGATAACAAGATGGAAATCGCAGCTGTAAATATTCAAGACAGTCTGGGGTCTTTTATAATATTCAAATGGACACCAACTTCTAATTCAAAATCATTCTCCATTGAGGATGGAGTAATAGTACGTCTGGTTGGGCTGTAATTCCATCTATAGAACCATGAAGTAGCAGATTCTATTGCAGCCTTATGTGGAGCTCGGTTGGCAGGGGAGTTCTGGGATGATCTTCGATCAGCTGCCATCCTTCTGAGTGGAGACATTCCAAGAAAAGTGTTGGTTAGGGTTGAAGGTTTATTCATTCCAGTATGGCTGGCTTCCTCCATTGAAGCTAATCCGTGGAAGGAAGCTCGCCAGGAAGAAGATGAGCTGGTGGAGATCAGGGCTTTAGCTGGCAACTCAGACTTGGTGACCCAAAAAGCTTCTGAACTTTTCATGAAAATAGACAAGTGGGGAAACATGCAAAAAGGTGTGGGCAGGCCGGAGAGTCAAAGCTGTGAGACACAAGTTTCAGCTCTGAAGAAGGGCTGCTCTTTTGCTTAAGTAGTTGTTTCAGGTGATAAAAGATCAGGCCCTTTTAATTTGAATTTTGTTTCTCTAAAGGGAAAAGGACAAGGTGCAACTAAGGTCTCTGTCAAGAATAGGAGATGTTGAACCGCCAGCTGAACCTGTGAACCGGTTGGAGGGGAAGTCCCTGTTAAAATCTCACATGACTTATCATGTGAGTTCTGTTGGGCCTGAAACCTCTTTTGGGCCTAATGTTCTCCTGTCGTTAATGGGCAGTAGTGGGCCTCTTATGTCTGGCCCATTACAGTTTAATAAAGAAGCATGTTCCCCTTTAAACATGCATGTGACCGGGGCAGGACCTCTTCTAGACGAAGGTAAAGGTCTACCTTCGTCTTCCTCAATGCAGGTTGCTGCTGTTGATTCTAGTGGCCGCTCTGTTAACAGCTCGATGAAGTGGGTACCAGTGGAGAAGTCTGTTCGCTTGTCACCTGAGAGACGAAA